CTAGCAGTAAGCAGCACTAACCGTAAATTCCCCCATTTCACATAGCTCCCACCTACCCCAGCTAGAAAAATATATCATTTTAAAATATTTAAATTAATTAATTAAATAAATTGGACCCCTGAGGGTTAAAAAAAAATAAAAGGTGTTAAAAAAAAAAAAAAAATCAGATCACAGTATAATACTGTGATCTGTATTTTGATTACTGTACGCAGTGATCAACTGGCAGGGAAGGGGTTAATTTTTATTAGGACTGGGTAAAGGGGGGTGGGATTTTTTTTACTTTTTAAAACATTTTTTAACTTTTTAAAACTTTTTTAACGTTAACCCCTAGCTAGCCACCAAATTCCCCAATTCCCCACTAACTTCCACCCACCCCAGCTAGCTAAATATATAATTTTAATATATTTAAATTAATTAATAAAATTAACCCCTGAGTGTTACAAAAAATAAAAAGATCTCCCTCACGGGCCCACATGCAGTGTGATGCGGCCGCTGTCAGGGGAAGGAGGGAGGGAGTAAGGAGAGGACCCGGAAGAGCTCTTGCAGCTCCACTGGGTTCCTCTCGCAAGATCTGGAGCGTTGCCATGGCAATACTACGGATCTCGCAAGATTGAACTCTAGCCCTGCAGGCTAGAGGTCACTCACCACTAGGACCACCAGGGATGGCATCACGGTTCCCCCTTCCAGGCATAAGGTAAGAAGGGAGGGGGGATACAATGCTTGTTTTTTTTAATTTTTTTTATTAAAAAAAAAATGTAAAAATACATATATAATAACATTAACCTGGCTCCCCCAACACACAATCCCTCTAACCTTATACACACACAGCATTCTCTCTCACACACACATCACTCTCTCACACACACACAGCATCCTCTCACACACACACACTCACACTGCATCCTCTCTCACACACACAGCACCCTCTCACACACACACACAGCATCCTCTCTCACACACACACAGCATCCTCTCACACAGAATCCTCTCTCATTCACACACATACAGCATCCTCTCACACACTGCACCCCTCACTCACACACAGCACCCTCATACACACACACTGCACCCCTTTCACACACACACAGCATCCCTCTCACACAGAATCCTCTCTCATTCACACACATACAGCATCCTCTCACACACTGCACCCCTCACTCACACACAGCACCCTCATACACACACACACACTGCACCCCTTTCACACACACCGCACCCCTCACACACTGCACACACTGCACCCCTCTTACGCACGGTGCACCCCTCACACACACACTGCACCCCTCACACATACACACTGCAGCCAAACATATATATAGACTACAGAACCCCTCACACGCATACTGCACCCCTAAACACATTACATTCCAGACATACACGAGATCCCTTACCCAACTTTGGATCATCTACACACATACACACACTAGATCCTTATATACATGCACACACACACACACACACACACACACACACACACTCACTAGATCTTCTATACACACTCTGGGTCCTTCAAACACACACTAGATCCCCTACACAAACACTGCACCACCTACACACACACTGCATTTCTGACATACACACTCTGGACCCACTATGCATACACGAGATTACTTGTAAGCAAAGACATCCTACATTCCCTAAAAACACACTCTCTACAACCCCACCAAACACTACATCACCTGTACACACCCACACACGTTCTACAGCCTATATGCACACACTCGCTACATCCCTTGTACACACTATGCCCCCTATACACACTCTCTACTGCATCTAGACACACATACATTACATTACACAACACGACTGAAACCAACCTATTAACACATTACCACACCACAATCAGCTTACACAATAATCTTTCCTGGCATTTTTGTCTCATGGTATACCATATGTGGAAACACCAGAGACAGGTTTCAAGCAAACACAGCACAAGCATGTTATTGTATTTTCTTGCGCTGTGCAGAACATATACAGGGCTCTTTTCTCATGCTACATAGTTACATAGTTACATAGCTGAAAAGAGACTTGCGTCCATCAAGTTCAGCCTACCTCACATTTGTTTTTTGCTGTTGATCCAAAAGAAGGCAAACAAAATCCAGTTTGAAGCACAATTTTGCAACAAGCTAGGAAAAAAATTCCTTCTTGACCTCAGAATGGCAGGTTCTGATTGTTCTTACAGTAAAAAAAACCTTTCCTTTGCCTTAGACAAAATCTTCTTTCTTCCAGTCTAAATGCATGGCCTTGTGTCCTATGTAAAGTACGGGTTGTGAATAGATTTCCACACAATGGTTTGTATTGGCCCCCGAATATATTTGTATAATGTTATCATATCCCTTCTCAGGCGACGTTTTTTTTCTAAACTAAATAGGTTTAAATTTGTTAACCTTTCTTCATAGCTGATATGTTCCATTCCTTTTATTAATTTTGTAGCCCGCCTCTACACTTTTTCTAGTGCTATAATATCCTTCTTTAGAACAGGTGCCCAAAATTGCACAGCGTATTCAATACGTGGTCTTACCAGTGATTTATAAAGAGGCAAAATTATATTCTCGTCCCGAGAATGAATGCCCTTTTTCATGCATGACAATACCTTACTGGCCTTGGCCACTGCTGATTGACATTGCACATTGTTGCATAGTTTATTGTCTATAACAATTCCCAAGTCCTTTTCATGTGTTGTTATCCCTAATTCGCTTCCATTAAGGGTATACGTTGCTTGTGTATTCTTTACGCCGAAGTGCATAACTTTGCATTTTCAACATTAAATTTCATCTGCCATTTGAGTGCCCAGTCCCCCAGTCTATCTAAATCCCTCTGCAGCAAAGTAATATCTTGCTCACATTGTATTATTTTACAAAGTTTTGTGTCATCTGCAAACACTGAAACATGACTTTCAATCAGTGGCGTCTCTAGGATTCATTTTTTGGGGGGGCACATGGAGGGCCAGTGACAAAAGTAGGGGGGCACATTTAACCCCGCCCTCATCGCAGTTTGACCCCGCCCCTGTCGCATGTTAAGCCACGCCCCCGACACAATGTGTTTTGTTTTTTAATAATACCTGGTGGAGGATTCATTATTTTCCACCAGGGATTATTAAAAAAACAAACACATTATCCTTGATACAGTGCCATAGTTGCCAACATTTGGAAAAAAAATTCCAAGGACGTTTTGCAGCACAGCTATCAATTACTGTCTGGGTATAATATCCCTCGACAGTCAGTGCTCTCTGTATAATACAGGGTTGTGTGTATAATAAATTGGGACACCCAGTGCTCCCTGTATAGTGCTGCTCTCTGTATAATACAGGTCTGTTTGTGTATAATATCCCAAGACAGAGAGCAGCACTATACAGTAAGCACTGACTATCCCGGGATATTTTATACACACAGATCTGTATTATACAGATAGCTGAGCATATACCCCAATCTCTAGACTACTAGTACCTGTCAAC